CCGGATACGATACTCATTTTCAAAAGTATTGATACTACCTTCTCTCAGATTTATTTATGTATTTTTTTACGTTGTTTATTGTCATTAACAAGTTGTTAGCCTTGAACTGCTAGCTTCGGCTAATGGCTAATAATAACGTGCTACCATTAATCAAGTACATATCCGACTCCGCCCACATCGAAGTCGGCCATTATAGTTACATTAACAATAGGAAGATTCCAGGCAAGAAAATCCTAATTGCTTCGTGGCAATATAGAGATTCATTTAAAAATTGTGAAATTAATCTTTCAAACACTTAATTAAACTCTATACATATTATTATGTTCAAATAGTGTATGTTAAATAGGTTTGTACAATAAGTCCAAACAAGTTTAACCAAAAAATATTTATTTCTCACAATTATAAAGGGTGGAGGATTAGGGTTTGGGTTAGGGTCAGGGTTAGGGTTAGGGTTATTAATGCAGGCCACCAGTCACGATAACATCAGTAACAGTTCAGTTTGAAATGAAACGCTAACCTGTCAAAATTCATTTAAATTTTGGGGTCTTTTTTTAATCCTTGTGGTATCGAAAATGGTATCGAGTATCGAGTATTTTCCTGAGTATCGGTATCCAGTTGAAAATTTTAGTATCGTGACAACCCTAGTCGGGGACCATTACCAGCTAAATTAGGAAGATGGTTAAAAATGGGTAAATCTGTGGTGGAAAGATGGCGGCCTGTTGGGTGCCGGTACCGTTAAGAGGTGAATGACCTGGTTGGAGTTCTGCTTTGTGGGTTCCTGAAAGCCAGAGCAGAAGTTTTGGGTTTGATTTGGGGGGCGAGGAGGAGGAGGAGCAGAAATCTCTGAACCGGGTCCTGCGTCTTCTCCGATGTCATGGCGGGGCTCAGAGTGTGCCCCCCCCCACCCCCCGGGCGCATTAGCATTTCCCCGCTCCCTGGCCAGGCTTCCCTCCGATGTCACGCCGGGGCTCAGACACGTTAACACAAACCTTCATGCTAACACGGCTCAGTCTGTCACAGGAGAATATTCCGTTACCTGCTGCCCCAGAGCAGGAACAGCTTTTTTTTATTTTTTTATTTCTTATTTCTTTATTTCCAGCAGATCACAGGCCGCCGCTGAACTCCTGAACTCCCGGATACATTACTAATGAGGCCGCAGCCTCTCACACAGCCGTGTGCTAGCAGGAAGGACCGGGGCTCTCTGTCTTCTTCTTCTGCACCAATGCATTACCGTCGTGACGCTTTCCTGGCCTGAGCCGGCTCTAATTGATAGGGGCTGCTGGTATTTACTTACATTCTCTGGGTGGATTAAATCTCAAAGGAAAGGGGAGGAGAGATGGAGGCTGTTTTTTTTTTTTCTCCTGGCTTTGCTTTAATATGCATTTGTTGGGGGGTGCGTGTGGAACGTGGGGACGTGCACGTGCGCAGATATGAGTGCGTTTTTCCCCGTCCCGCGCGGTTCGGCCCTCATCCTTCCTCCTCCACCACCAAAAACGGTCGAATCCCTCAAAGCCGCGCGGCGCCCAGCCTCCACCCAGCAGCAAATCTAATCAGCGGTCTGTGTGTGAGCGTGTGTGTGTGTGTGTGTGTGTGTGTGTGTGTGTGTGGGGCAGCACAGAGGCTTATTTACTGCACACGCTCAATAGTCAATACCATCATCTTTGAGGCTTGCTTTCCATTTTGCTGCCCGTGTGTGATACGTAGTGCCGGTCCTCGTCTCCGGTCCGAGGCTGAGGGGGGGGGCAGGAAACCAGAACGGGGCCGCCGGTAGGAACGGGACGGACTCCTCTCGGAGGGGCTCTTCTTCTGACCCGGCTGTCCACTGAGGTTACAGATCTTGCCTGCTCGCTGAGACACTGGCCGGACGGCTGGTCAGGGACGTCCAGCAGGAACATCGATTTTTTTTTTTTTTTTCATCTTTTCTCCGAAGTGAGACAGATTATTTTGCATTCCCCCCCTCCTCTCTTTATTTTAAAATATTTTTATTGAGTTTTACACTTACAAAAAAATGAACATGTCCCCAAACAGCAACCCCAACATAAAGAATTATAAAGTGACAATAATAACAGAAAAAATAAATAAATCAATCAATAGAAACCTGACAGGTTACAGAGTTACAGAGCCTGTGAATCAATTATGTCCAAGTTAAAAAAAATTGTAAGTTAAAATGATTTAGAAATGGCTGCCAGACCTTATAAAATCTCTGGGTTGAACCCCTGATCCCCCTCCTCTCTTTTAGTTCCACCCTCTCAAACTGAGGACGATGCTGTTTTTAAAACCTTTTTTTTTTTTCTTTAACCCCTTGTCCTGTTCAGCATTATGGCAACAGAACTGTAATCTGAGTGCCGCTTTCTGCCCCACACTTTTGCTTTTGCCAAGGGAGGCCTCTCAGGGTGGGAAGCCTCCCTTCATCATCCAGTACTGCTTTATTATTTATTTAAGATTTATTTTTGTTACAGAAGTAAGACGGTTAATGCCAAACCTGACCGGGGGGACAGGGAAAGAGAGAAAAAGAAAGAAAAAATAAGATGCTGTTTAAGTCAGTGACCCCCTGCAACACGCACCAGTAAAGGAGTTAGAAATTAATTGAATGAGCCCTTTTTAACGCGTTTGTGTCATTTTCAACCTGTGGACAACAACAGAAAAGAGACTTCTGATTGGCAGTCGAGGTCCGATATGTGATTGTTTTCCTTTTTAAATAATCTGTCTTGTTTAATTTTAACGTTAAGCATCAGATGGGAGAGAAACGGCTGGAGAAGGAAAGAGATTTACCACAACAAAAAGGCAAAAATAGCCGGAAGAAAGTCATGAAATGCTCTACGGCTCGCTCGTCCGGTCAAATAAACCTGCTCTGGTGTTCGGGTTTCTACATTAAGGCTGTTGTGGAGCTCTCAGAGGACGTGGTTTACGGTTTAAGTGGATGTTTTCTGTTTGTGGTTAAATCGCTCTGATGCCCTTTGTGTCCGTGAGCATTAAAATCTGTTTTTTTTATTTAAAAAAGGAGAGAAAATCTTTTAAAACGAGGCTAAATAGCTTTTTTCTAACTGGTTTCATTATTGGTGGTCAGCACATGTAGAAGCGGTGGATATTTGAGGATGTTTTTTTCCGGTGGCTTCTCCAGCAGCTCGTCAGCCTCCGCCTAATGAAAGCCGACAAAAGTGAAGTTCAGGGTGTCCCGCCGCGGCTGGAAAATAACCGCAGCTTTTCTGCATCTGACAGTCTCATTTCCCAGCCCGCGCGGTGACAGCTTAATGAGTCGGTCAGAGAGGCGTTGACCGCCCGAGCTGGCCATTTCGGACATCGACCGGCCTGGGAAATAAAAACCCAAACGCAGGTGTTCCAGGGTTTTGCGTTATTTCTTTTCAAATCTGATTAATATTTGCACTCAGGGTAAATAAATTAGTTATAAATGTTGTCCTAAAACAGACGTTGGCCGTGTAGATTTTTGCTCGCAGCTGCTAGTTTTTCTCTTGTTTGTATTCATTTATTTATTTTACAGTTAGAAGCCTCTTTTGGGGGGGTGGGGGTAATTACATTTCGCCTCGATATTCAGCCTGTGTGTTTTGCTTTTCATGTGTAAATTTCCGCTCAACGTGGTGCGGAAATATGAAAATTGCCTCCACAACGAGGAGCCTCGAACGCAACGTAGTTCCTGGAAATGAGATTTTCATTTTTCGTTTCAGAAAAAGTGCTTATTTCCTCCCCGTTAATGACACGCTCCGGTCTGAAACGTTTTGATTTCGTGTGCTTTTCATCTGTTTGCAGGCCCAGTTCGTGCACAGCTCTGTGCATGTGTGTGTGCGTGTGTGTGTGTGTCTGTGTGTGTGTGTCAGGATGAAGATTGCAGGGTTGATTATGTGTCTGATTTTGTGGACAGAGTGACATCCTTTCTAATGAAATAATGGTCTAGTGGCAGAGTGCTGGACGCTTGCACGTTGGAAACTTCAATTACAGACAAGATGGGTTTTTTTCCCACCCTTTTTTAGTCAGAGAAACACAAGGTTTTCCTCCTTTTTTTTAAACAGACATACTTACAATAAACAAAAAGGCTCCATAAAGAAGCCGTTTTTCGCCAGACAGACTCGTGTCTAAGTGTTTTTTTTCTTTCTTTCTTTTGATAATGAATTGAAAGGGCACAGCACGCTTTATTTCACCATCTGCTTAACAAATCGTTCACCGCATTTTTTGTTTTAAAAAGGAAAAAAGAATGAAAAAATCAGCCTTTTTGGGCACAGATGAACCGGAGCCGTGCTGTAGAGCCTCCTCTGCGATGCGTTCAGGTTCTGTGGGCCGTTGGATTTGTTTTTCACGCCAAATCGTCCCGTTTTCTTACGCTTTGTGCTGTGAAATTAGCTCAGAGCATGTGTTAAAGTTTAAAGTTATTTAGCCTACATACTTAGTTGTCAGACTCATGTTGAACAGGGATTTACTCTGATAACAACTAGACCAGCTGAATTAGGGGAGTCTGAATAACACACACTGGTTGGTAAAGAGACACTGACCTGTTTATTCAGGGAGAAACACAAAATAGACAAAACTATAAATAACAAACGGAAATGGCATCAGTGAAAAGTGCAAATAACTGTATTAAAAAGGCAAAACACACAACCCCGAATAGAAAATTGTCTATTAACTCAGCATCAGAACTCTTGTTTTACATCCACCTCTTCCTTTTTTTTCGTCCTTAAGCATCAAATAATCCGGCAAAACTGACATTTTTACCGATAAATTCAAATTAACATGGCCGTCTTAATGGTTAGGACACAGAGCTGTGGGTCAGGAGATGCTAAAGCTAATGCTAATGCATAAGGTTGTGCTGGAAAATGACCGTACGGATATAAGGGAACAACACAGCAAAGTGGAAATGGATTATTTTAATCAGTCTTTTTAAAAACGACATTTTCTCCTGCATTCTTTTGCAAATATCGGCGGCCGATCCGATCCAGATATCGGACCGGGACGAGCCTAATTAACACCTCCTTCTGCTCTCCTGTTCTCAGGGTGGACCCCATCCCCTACGACACTCCCAAGCCGGCGGGACACACCCGCTTCGTGTGTGTGTCCGACACACACTCGCGCACGGACGGCATCCAGATGCCCTACGGCGACGTGCTGCTGCACACGGGCGACTTCACCGAGCTGGGCCTGCCCTCCGAGGTTAAGAAGTTCAACGACTGGCTAGGTAGGACGCTCCCGTCTGGCCCCTCCGGCCCCTCTGACCTCTGACCTCTCCCTCTGGCCGGTCCCCGGCTCCACCGCAGTCACGTTTCACCAGTGTTGGGAAGTAACGGATTACATGTAACGACGTGACGTAATTTAATTACAAAAAAAGAGTAACTGTAATTCGTTACAGTTACAATGAGAAAATATGTAATTCAGTTACAGTTACTTCCGAAAATATTAAGAATTACAAATTTAGTTACATTTTTTAAAAAATATAAAGAAAAACCTTTGCGAAATATGCAACTCACTGATAGACGAAGCGTATTGATTTACTAATATTTGACTGTTTGGTGTTGATGCATGACAAACGTTTATCGATGTCTATGACCTAGCCTAGCCTAGCCTAGCCTAGCCTACCTAACTGTAGGGTGACCAGACGTGCTCTTTTTCCCCGACATTTCCTACATTTCAGACTAGGGTTGTCAAAAGTATCGATACTTAAAAAAGTATAGATACTAAAATGTTGTATCCCGATACGACTGACTTGTCTCCGAATTATTTATGTATTTATTTACGTTGTTTATGATCATTAACAAGACGTTAGCCTTGAACTGCTAGCTGCGGCCAATAGCTAATAATAACATGCTAAAATTAATCATGGGTCAATACTCATTAAAACCTTAAAGTAATCAAAAAGTAATCAAAAGTAATTAGTTACATTACTTTTTAAAAGTAACCGAAAAAGTTACACTACAATTACATTTTAAACAAGGTAACTTGTAACTGTAACGGATTACATTTTTAAAGTAACTTACCCAACACTGCGTTTCACTCTCTGGGAAAGAAAAAAAGACGCACAGGCGCTATCTGATGCTCCCCCCCGCAGACCCATAAATCAATAAGCACCACCCACCACTGTAGGCCGCAACATTTCAGACATCTGAGTCTCCTCGCTGGCTCGTTGGCTTGTATTTGTTGATCAGAGCAGATCGTTTGCAGCACAAAGGTCTTTGATGAGGGAAAAATCACTGAGAGGTAAATGGGAAAAAGCCCCTGTTTGGGGTTAAGATGCTTAGAAAATCTCTGTCCTCTGTTTAAAGCTGACCTGAGTCCTGAAAGTCTAGATCTAAAAAACCTTCTAGATTTAAAAAAAAAAAAGGTGTTGAGGAGCTCTGCGTAATCTGCCGTCATCCCCTGTTTATGCTGAATAAAAACAAGACTCAAAGACAATTAATCCTCCAGATGGAAAATCATTCCACCATCCATCTGGAAACAGCACTCTTCCACATCTGGGATTTGCTCGGATATTTACATTCAAAAACCACATTCTTTTCAATAGGTTGTTTTTCTTCCTTCTTGTAATGATCTCAGAAAAGATACATTTACTCCCTCAGACAAAACCGTGAACAAGAAATGCTTCCAAAGTGTTGATTTGAGGAAAAGTGAAGCCTGCTCCATTTCCTGAAGTCCTTTTCTCATTTTAACATACGAGTGACGGCATAATTTACCCGGAAAGTGATGCCGTACGGCCATTATTCGGTCTCTTTTGGGCCCTGTTGATTGCTATTACTCAGCTTTTAACTGCTATAAAATAGAAGGATAAACCTGTTGTTTTGTGGTTGAGCAGAATTGGCTGTGATGCGTTCGCTGACATCAGAGGGAAGCTGTGAGTGGTTTAGAAAAAGGCCAGAAATGGGTTTCTGATCGACTAATCAGCTAAGAATTAACAGGAGGCTGCCACAGAGTTTAAAAAGAAGGTAAAACGCCAAATATGTGCCGGCCTGATGGTTAATAAAGGCCGTTAAAGCTGATTTTAGCCATGATTGACAACCAAATTCTGCTGCTTTACACTCGAGTTGGGATTCATGAGCTCCTGGATTCTAAATGGTTTGTGTTTTCAGAGAATGATGAGAAACGAAATGAAAACTGGGTGTAAATGTTCTTGTCCGGTGGGAAATGGGCCGGACGGCGGCCCTCGGCCTCCAGTTTGAAGCAGAACTTAAAAGGACGGCGTTCCTCTGGTCGTGGTCACCAGAAGTTCAGGCGCTAAGCCGCAGAGCTGTCAGCGCTCTAAAGCCGTAATTCTTAAAAAAAAACATGTTTTCAGTATCAAACACGGCACCCCGATGAGTCCAAAGGTGGCTGTCAGAGTTTGCCTCCAAAGATCTGACAGGAGCCGCAGTCCCAGCGGGTTCTGACCCACTTTTCACAGCCGGAGGGGAAAATAATCCACTCTCCAGAAAACATCTCCCTACGCTCCCGCTAGCAGCTGCCTTCCTGACTTTTCTGTGTTAACCGGAGGCCTCATTCCGAAAGCTGGAAACCAGACTCATGGTGCATTAGTCTGTGTTTTGAGGTCAGCCCACAGCCAAATAGGAGAGTCACGATTTAAAGCCAAATTTGTGGAATTTGTTTGGACGACAGGGAAAAAGTCGGCCTAAAAAAAATTGTGATTTTTTTTTTTTTTAGATTTTAGAATTTTCACCTTTTGTAATGATAAATTCAGCAAATTCTGATGTATTTTTTCAGCTGTAAATATTTTTTACAGTTTTGTGTTTTTTCTTGTTTACTTTTGCCTGTTTTTAAAAGATAAAATGACAGGGAAAACTCTGAGGGTTAAAGTTGTCCTTAAAAATTTTTTATTTTTATTTTTATTTTTAGAATTGAAACCTTTTGTTATGATAAATTCTGCAAGTTTATGCATATTTTTGCAGTTTTGTGTTTTTTCTTGTTTACTTTTTCTTGTTTTTTAAAGATAAAACACTCAAATGAGAGAAATTTTAGATTTTTTTCATACAGTTTAATGTGCAGCCTTGAAGACGGCAGCATAATAAAGAAAAAAGGTAGCATTTGCCAAAACATTTTCCGCAGTTCCTCCTCTTAAAAGGGAGTTTTTTTTCATTGGATGAACATGAAGTTTAAGGGGTAATCCGCTGATTTCAATAGCTGGGAAACTTATTTTTAACTGGACTTCTGAGTGGGAGCTGGTTGGATTTCACATTTTACATTTGACACATTTTACACTTTACAGCACTTGAAATCTAAGTTGTTTAGCTTCATCTGTATAATAGAGACTTGGTGCTTTAAAACCCAGTTGAACTGAACATATTATGTTCTAAATGAGACATTATGACAGGTTGAATTCATATTTTCTGAGAGAGTTGTAAATAACTGGACCTTTCTTGAAGCTAAAATTTGTTCAGAGTTACTCTAAATCATTATAAATTGAAGGTTTTCAGTAAACTGGAACGTTCTCTGTTGAATATTTAATTATTCTGTGGAGGATATTCCTCTACATCAGAACTCAGGGGCTGAAGATGGTGAAGTTTGACTCTTCTTCTGTTTGAGGGCGACCCAGTTTGCAGCTGTACAAACGGACACTTCTCTTTATTCCATTTTTATGCCGAAAGTGGGAAAACTCTCAAAGCAGTTATTTTAAACCAAGCTTCAACAGGGTTCAACAGGTCTCGGATCCATTCGGCCTTAAAGTGTTAATGAAAGACGCTATACGTCGAATATAATATAACAATGAACGTGAATCCACCGTGTACTCGTTTCCAACTTTATTTTTCAGTGCAAAATCCTCCAGGGCATGCAAAGCTGTTTTGAAGCTTCGTCCAGGCTTCAAAGTGACCGATAGTGGTTTAAACGGGTTGGTAAATTGAGTTTTTGTGTCAAATACATGCAAAAAAAAACAGGGAATCAACAAAAAAAAAAAAAAGTTTTTGTTTGAAATTCATCGTCCTCCATCTTTTGGACTATTTTGAACTGATTTGGGTCAGTTTGGGTAGGCTTTGGACCAGTTTTGGACCGGTTTAGCCCCCTTTTAGACTGGTTTGTGTTAATTTTGGGTTGGTTTGGGTTAGTTCTGGTCATTTTTGGACCAGTTTGGGTCCCTTTTGGTCTGGATTGGATTAGTTTGGGTGGTGTGCTCAGCTCCGTGGGGTTGGACGGGTTGGCAGATGGAGTTTTTGTATCAAATACATGTTAAATAAACAGGGAATCAACAAAAAAACCCCCAAAAAGTTTCGTTCTTCCTCTGTCTCTTCTTTGGGCCTTTTCGCCTTCAAATAGAAACTTTCCAAAGACGTCTGTATTTTTTTACTCATTTTTCTTACTTGTGGGCAAAATCTTGGGCGCTCAAGTGACCAAGAGAATCCGGTCATTTTTCAAAATAAAAGATTTTACCAAAAAAAAGATTATTCACACTCTGAGAATAAACAATTATAACGGAAACAATAGATTATTACCTGGACGTCCGCCGGCCCGGTGCCGGTCCGGGGACCAGGGGTTGGGCACCACTGCTTTAATGGAACAGTGGGTATCTCATAGTGTATAAAATAAATTCCTCATCTCACAGAAATCCCCCTTTTAGTCCAATGCCTGCCTCTTTGGTGGCAGAGAGCTTCTTAGAGCTGGAGATGGAGAGCTCCCTTTTCAAACGGAGTGGTTTCTCTGCTGTTGTTGGCCTTTGCCGCTCTCACGCTTAAGAGGAGACGGGCCATTGACTCCTGTTTGGCCTCCTGCAGGAGATCATTAGAGATCGATGCAGAGGAGCGAGCTCTCCCTGACCCAGCCCATCTGACTCTGATATCCCTCTTTAAGCTGCTCCCAAAGGTCCGGGAGCATCTGTGGATCATCTATTGATCGTTTGCTCTAAAGAGTGTGCTTTCTTAGAGTCTAATCAGCTAATAACCGACTGCAAAAAAACCGAAAAACGCCTGTTTTTGCTTTTTCCGTGTGTATTTTTAAAACTATTCCTCCAGCCTCTGGTGATCCGGTGTACATTTACCTGCATTTTTCAGCTTTAATTCTTGTAAGTTTTCTTTACGAAAGTTAATTTCAGATGAACGTCGACCCAAATTTGGCCGATAATTGACACAATTATCACAACAAGCCTTTTCCGTGGAGCCGGGCTTCCCTTCCTGGCTGTGTTCCAATTAGCCGATGTTATGTCACGTTGTCGTTTCCTGTGAAGGCTCGTTTGAAGACGCGTGAGGAGAGGTGACAGATTAATTTTCCTCAGACTGTCCCCCCCCCCCCCCCCAAGTGGAAAAAGTGGGAAAAAGGCAACTATTTCAAACATTTGGAGCATTTTCGTCTCCTCCTCGTGCCTCAAAAGCCTGACACAACATTTCAGCAGTTGAGTTTAGCTCCGATTCCTCCCCCCCCCGTCCTTTTTCCGCCCGTTTGTGGGAGAGAGGGGGAGGAATTAAAGCAAATTCTGGGCGTATCACTCCATCAAGACTCCATAAGATAAATCACGGTGGCAATAAAGCGCGGGCGGAGCTCCCAGTGGAGGGATGGAGACGGAGGGCTTTCGATGGTAATTTTGTTTTTCCCCGCTTTTTCCAGGCGCGTGCACGTCCGAGCGTGCGCACGGAGGCGCGATCCGGTTGGAGGCGGCGCTCTCGTTTAAGGGGCAGGCTGGAATTTATGATCCTAAGACGAGACGGGAGCTAATTTAGAGCAGCGGGAATGAAACCCGTGGAGCAGGGAGCCGTGATTCTCCCATTCCCAGTATTAGAGAGCACACACACACACACACACACACACACACACACACACACACA